AATCCTTGCACGAGGAGGTGATCTGCTCCAACAGAGATTGCCCCATATTCTACATGCGACAGAAGGTTCGCATGGATCTAGACAATCAGGAGAAGCGGGTGATGCGATTCGGCCTGGCTGAGTGGTAACCAATGCATGAATTTACTGAATTGTTTAATCCTATAATTTAATAATTATATTACTAGAAGTTATTACAAAGTTTCTTTCGGTTCGTGGATTTTTTGCGCAATATGCAATTTGAAAAAAGCTGTAGACGTTTCCTAGCTGGCGATGCTTTGGACACACATTTTTACACAGGGGACTGGGGGTCTGAGGACTGGCTAAGTATCTACTTGCGACTCTGCAGGGTGTTGGACAGCCAGTCCATGGCCTGGTCGAGTCCCTCGCCCTTGGTGGCCGACGTTTTAAATATCTGAAATGTGCGGTTCTTAAGGTTCTCCAGCCCTAACGCGTGATGGACTTCGGCGACGGTCATGCATCCGTCCATGTCCTGCTTGTTCGCCAGGACCACCAGTATCGCGCCGGCCAGCTCCTCCTCCCGCAGCATGTATAGCAGCTCGTCCTTGGAGATGCCAATGCGATCCCGGTCAGCCGAATCCACCACGTAGATTATGGCGTCTGTGTTGCTGTAGTAGCAACGCCAATAAGGTCTGTAATGGAAATAACACAAATTTTGATTAGGACTACCATTTGATTCTTAAAGAGAACATAGAAATGTATACGTGGCCTTACTACGAAGGAACTATTTTTAAGTTATCTTTCACATAATGGTTTTGTACTAATAGTTAATAATTCAGATAACCGCTTATCCTTAAATTTCATCGTGATGCAGAACATTTTTAACTTCAGATAAACAACACGTTTCGGAAATGACGTGTTCGCAATGTACAACATTTCCGGATGTTGAAGCATATTAAAAAACATGTTAACCCTAACGCTGATGTGAGGAAATATTTTAATATTGTAACGAAATTCGATCTGCATATTAATAATTTATGTAGTGATATTCTAATTTCGATTTTTAATACATGAAGATGCCGAAATTTAACACATTTCACCAACCAAACAAAAACATTTCGAATATTTTAAAAATTCGTCAAGATGTTATTCTTTTTTTTAAAACATACTTTTAAAAATTTCCCTGAACATATCTCCGAACTCATAAAGGCCGAAAAATCTCTATAGGACTTGGGTTAAGTTGGGTAAGATTATGGGTCTCGTGCAACACACTCACCTAATACTTGTCTGGCCGCCCAAATCCCAGACCTGGAACTTTAGGTTCTTGTAGGTGACCTGCTCCACGTTGAAGCCAATGGTGGGTATCGTCGTGACCACCTCGCCCACCTGCAGTCTGTAGAGGATCGTGGTCTTGCCGGCGCCGTCCAGGCCCAGGATCAAGATGCGCATCTCCCGGGAGCCGAGCAGTCCGCGAAAGTAGCTGAGCACCCCACCTGGAGGGAGAACGTACGATTTTTATGACTAGACTTCGTCACCGGGTGTCGCCGGAATGGGAGGTTCCGTTTCCATGCTCCGTGGTGTACAAACCCATGATTACGGCTGAACTTTGTCTAGAGCTGGCGCTGCCTCTAAATGCTTAAGTGTAAACCTAGGTAATTGTATTTGGTGCTACAATTAATACAAAATCGAAAACTCTTGTTTTCACTTTTTTGGGCTGGAGAATGGTTTCGTTTTGCCATTCGCAGGTCACGCGAACATGACGTGTCACAGCGTGCGTTCAGCAGGAAAATATTTTTGTATAAAAAACTCTTCAATAACTTTCAAAAAACGTTTAATAATTTCAATAAAATTAAAATAAATAGCATTTAAGGAAATGCGTAGAGAATGATAATAAAAATATTCACTTTTACTTGTGCTGAACGCGTCCACCTTTATTGCCGGTTCACAGAGTTGCCACCCTTGCGTGACTTTTGTTATAGAGACGGCCGCCATTAGAGTTTTGCTGTCGCGTCGCGTTGTGAAAAGAGAAGAAAACCTCCTGAAAACAGTGCTAATAGGTAATACTTTAGTTGCCAAATGGAGGCATCCGATTGAGTTTTCCTAGCGCGATAAGCGTGCTGTTGAATTCATTCGGTTGGACGTGTCTTTAGTCGCTAATTTTGTGTTTGCACCGGACTGCGCAAAAAGTGTGCCAAAAAAAGGCACCAAAACGGTAGCTTCGATTACATATCGTGGCTATAGCTTCTATAATGTTGGTAAATACAGTGCATTGACGTGTGTTCCATCTGCAGATTGGGCTGCAACAGTTGCTTGGATATCGCCGTTGGATAAAGTTAGGAAAAGGAGCTGCAATATGGCCTCGCCCTCTCCGGCGAACAGTCCCATGCCACCGCCACAGGCGCCCAGTCCGATGGCACCGCCCTCGCAGAGCCCCGCCCCCTCGCCGCACAGCCCCTATCCCCACCAGCAGCCGGGTCCACTGCAAGGACCTCCGCCGCCCGGGCATCCCGGTGCCTATGGACATCCCATGCAGCACGGACCACCCGGCCAGGGTCCTCCCGGCCATCATATGCCACCGCACCACCAGGGGATGAGTATGTTCTTGAGCAACCCACCACCAATCGCCCCAGTCGCACGTAATTATCCGTAGTTTTTTCAAAAGGTCCGCACATGGGAATGCAGATGCCGCCGACGGGTCCGAATATGTCTCCCTACCAAACCCACGGAATGCCACCCAATGTAAGTGACCCCTAAATCTTACCGTAGGAATCCTATTTAGATGTTTCAGTTCTTTGCAACAGTGAAAGTGAAAGATTGTTTATCATTTTGTACTTATGTTCTTGGGCATCTTAGGCTCGCACATATATAGCGCCAAAGATAGTTAGAACAAATAATTCTTATCTACAGATTATAGAGCTATCGTATCCTATAAAATTGCACAGTATACAAAATAGGATGATTAAGGATTTCTTTAAATTACTTTATTTACTTTAGTTTATATATGGGAGGGGATTGATATGGTTATTAATTTTAGAGTTTTTATGGAAAGTATCGCATTGCTCCCTAAGCTAACATTTTTCTTTAGAGGGATATTTTACTCTCCATATCAGTATACAAAAAAAGTCATGTTCTGGAAACTATTTAAAGGAGTATAGAAATACAAAATTTCTATTTAGATCATCTTTCTTGATTTATTAACAGCTTAGTGCTTAAAATTATGGTATCATAAGGTGTGGTGTTTCAAAATCTCAAGTGAGAGTGACTTGCTTTCCCGCCTTTTTAACGTGTATCGTGGAACAGCTGCCGGCGATCAAAGCTGGAATATATCTGAAAGCTCCCCATTCGCAGAGACAGTTCAGCTGCCCCCAAGCTTTTTAATTAAGATCGTGTTTGCCTTGCTTAAATTACTTCTGCACCGGCTTCCCTCCTACGGACTCCTCCTGGTCTCCCTTGCGCAGAAGGTCTTCGATTTCCTTGCGCAACTTCTCCGTTCCGGCGCAGATTAGATCCGGCTTCATGATGTCAAATGGTCCGCCAAAGGGATGTGTTACCACGCCTCCCGCCTCCTTAACCAGCAGGGAACCGGCGGCACAATCCCAGGGATACATGTCCTCAATGTAGAAGGCATCCAGATTGCCAGCGGCCACCATGCACAGCTCATCCACCACACAGGAGTAGGCCACAAGTCTGTGGATTTATGGGATATTTTAATTAATATTCGTGATTCCTAAACTGGAACAAATGTAGATTGAAGCTTTCAATTTAACATTGACCGGTTAATTGTTTAGTACTCAGATATTTTTGTTTTGTTAATTACACATACAAGTGATTATTGTGAGACGGGTTTTAAATTTGATATCTATAAGATTTGTTGGTTGTTTTTTTAATGCATTTTAGGCAGTGACTACAATATAATCGGTATTTATGCGAGACAGATTCAAATTTATAAATGAATTACTCACCGCCTGGCATTCAATCCCACATGGTAGATCCTTTTGATGTGCTTGTTGGCCACCGAATGGACATGCAGCAGGGACACTTCGTAGGCCACATTGGCATCCTTAACGCTCTCGCAGCTGCTTACATGGATGGGTTTGCCATTGCAAAAGGCGCCTTGGCCCAGTTTTGTTGTGAAGAGCTTTTTCTGGACAGGATTATTGATCACCCCCACCACGATTTGTTTGTTGATCGCCAAGCCGATCGAAACGCAAACGTGTGGAATCTGCTTGATAAAGTTAGAAGTACCATCGATTGGATCTATGATCCAGGTTGGAGCATCCGTCAGCTCCCCGGACACGTTGTTATTCTTGGCCGTCGCCTCCTCGCCGATGAACTTGTGTTCCGGGTACCTGGCCAATATCTTCTCCATTAGAAAGTCCTCAATCTTGTTGTCGTAGTCAGTGACCACGTCGTAGAAATCGCCTTTGATGGAGACGTTTTTACTGGCCATCTCGTAGCCCTCTATGAGGATTTCTCCGGCTTTGATGGCTAGGGGATGGATAAAGTTGTACAACTCCTCGATATCCGCTTGTCTTACTTCTGTCATTTTGTTTCTATGCGTATAACGATCCGTCCCTGCTCAGTTCGTGATGCCAACTAATCAGAGAGATTGCACCCCACTGGAAGTAGCTCCACGCTCGGCTGGTTTTGCCTATCTAGCGCTGGAGCTGTGCTTTCGGTTCGGTTAAGTTCACTCGTTCTATGATTGTTTGCCTGCCTCGCGCTTTATGATCGCAACGACATCGCCCCATTGGGTGTACTAAAAATTGGCATCTCACCTGGCTGCCTGCCTCTGTTTTATCTCAATTGGTTTGATGTACACAAATAGACATACTCTTTTTATCTCCACAGGCAGCCAGTCAAATAGTTGTAAAACCAGTTTTTATCAGCATTTTTCCCGCTGTCAGACGTTATTATTGGATGATTTACACTTTCGAGCTGCAAGTCATTATAGTCAGCGAGGCATATCAGATATTATGTTAAAATTTATCAGGTCTTTTCTATATTTATATCTATTTATATTTATCTAATACTTTCTCTGAATTATTATTTTTATTTAAAAGTATACCGGTAATTTGGTCAGTTGCTTCTATCACCTCGATTACATATTTGGCCAATTCTTCAAAGCTGGTGCGCACACAATCGGGTTTCATCAAATGAAATCTTTCTCCGCTGGCTTTGTAAACAGTGCCACCGGCCGCCTTGAGGATTACCGCACCGCCAGCTAGATCCCAGGGTTTAAGATTCTCCACATGATAGGCGTCACATCTGCCGGCGGCTATTTAGTTGAGCGTGAGAGCTGCACATCCAAAGCTTCGGGTGCTGACAGCGGAGTGCAGTTTAAATGATGGGATAAGATCAGAGTTCTTTGGGTCACTTACCCTGTGGCATTCGAGGCCAGCTTGTAGAGACGCTTCACGTTCTTGTCCCGAACTTTTTAGCAGATAGATTACTGCAGAAAACATAATTATTTTATTTGGACCTGGGCTTTTTAATTCTTTGATAGAAGTAAATTTTTTCAAGTGATATTTTTAATAGATTACTTGAACCCATTAGAATACTTACACATCCAGCTTATTCTTTATTACAAAATCTCTGAGATAAGGCATTACTTCATGACTTGCGAAACCTACCGCTTTAGCGTAAGAAACCTCAATGGGTTGCTCATTTAAATAAGCTCCGGGATCTTGTTAAGCTGAATACAACTCATTTGCAGGGATTGTAAACAATCCCCAGCAAATACAGAAATACAGCAATGGGGAACCTTTCGCATCCGTTAACTCGCATTCTGTCTTGACTTCGTAATCGGATTTCGGTTTCTGGAAACCCTCCAAGAAAAGCTGACCGCACTTCCTGACCAGTTCCAGGGATACTTGGTAGTATTCTCCAAGTTTTTCCTCGCTGATCCGGTAACTCATGGTTGCACTTTCGACTGATCAAAGTAAAAACTAATCTTTTTTCAGAAACACAGTAAATAAAGCTTTTTCGCAAGCTTTTCAGATAGAGTTCCTAAAGTTCTTATATTGCTCATACATAGTTTGTTTTATTGTACTGGAAAATTAGCGGGTAATTTAGCCCTTTATAATAGTATATAATATATTGTGGATACTGGCTTTGCATACTGAGTCTTTACTTGAATGTGTACTCTGTAATCTGACTGGCCTCTTCGATAAGGCTCATCACATTCTTGGCCAACTCCGGCGTGGAGGCGCACACGCAATCTGGTTTCATCACATCAAATTTGGATCCGCTGGTGTGGCATACAGTGCCCCCGGCTTCGGTCAGGATGATGGCTCCGGCAGCTATGTCCCAGGGTTTTAGGTCCTCCACATGATAGGCATCGCACTGACCCGTGGCCACGTAGCACAGGGTTAGGGCGGCACTTCCAAAGCACCGGGTTCCCGTGGCATTCGAGGCCATCTTGTACAGTCGCTTTACATTCTTGTCCCTCACTCCTGCGGCGTGAATCAGGGAGATTTCGTAGGCAATCACTGCCTGCTTGATCTGGAAATGCGCGTAGTAATGCAGAGTTATTAATTGATATAAAGATCCGCAATGTTGGGGCAATTTTTTATAAAATAGTTGAGTTTTGAAAAAGACGGTTATAATAAATTAAAATTTCTTGTAGTATACAAGAGTCATACAAAGCACATTTATCAATTTGCTTAAACATTCTTATCAAAATGCATATTTAATTTTTTTCTGTGCACCGATAAACCTGATTGCAAGAATAATGTCATGCACGGCAATTTGTTAAATTTCGTTTATCTTGTTTGTCGCTATATATTGTTGCTCCCAGATTATATAAGCACTCTCTTACCGTCGTCACTTTGGATGTGTGGATGGGTTCACCATTTAGATAGGCTCCATGTCCTTTGTAGGCGGAGAAGAGTTCATTCGCGGGCGGATTGTAGATGATGCCCACCACAAGCTCCTTGTTGATGGCCAAACCCACGGAAATGCAGCAGTGTGGAATGCGGTGGATGAAGTTGGTGGTGCCGTCAATGGGATCTATGATCCAAGTGGGCGCATCGGTCAACTCCGCCTGGCGCTGTGAAGCTGCCGACTCCTCCTCGCCAATAATCAGGGATTCGGGAAAGGCGGCCACCAATCCCTCGGTCAAAATATCCTCGATTTGCTTGTCGTACACAGTGACCAGGTCGTAGAAGTCCGCCTTGACCTTGTAGTCCGTCTTGGCCTTCTGGTAGCCCTCCTGCATCAGAGGTCCGCACTTTAGGACCAGTTTCAGGGCCACATCGTAGTACTCCTTGAGCTTGGACTCGCTGACCGAGGAACTCATCGCTATTTCTGTTGATTTCCGACTGAGCAGCAGAACTATATAGACGCAAGTCAGCTGTGGCATAGTTGCGACGCCAGATAAAAGCTTTCTGGCGAAGCTTAGAGCTTTAGAGAGAGCATATGGGAGAGCGCGATAGAGTTCCTTACTAACCGCTGTTTCGAGTGTGATATTACTTCACTGGTCAGCCAATATCAAAGATGGTAAACAGATATAAATATTACCAGTAAAATTTATAAAATCCTTGCTGTTCTGGAAATTATGTTGTTAATATATGTTTATTTACAATGGTGATAAGAAAGAGGCATGTACTTAAGTATTTTCCGATATACGAATTAAATATTCCAGAACTGAAATAGTGTTGGGATATAACCTACTACTACTTCTTCTACTATTAGCCAGACCTAGGATACAGTTTCTTGAGACTTTGAGTACTATAAAGATAAAAAGATGTCTTTGCTTGACGGGCTATTAAATGCGGTCATTTGGATGAGAGCACAATGACAAGCACTTGTAGAGCTCAAACAAAAGAACCAGCGCTTAAATAAGATTCTGTTTTATGTTGATCATTAGACTTTTATTTGTTGACAAAAGCTCTTTGGCTTTGACTGAGAAATCTCAATCTGCACCCACATGCTTCGCCTGATCGGCCTTCCGAATGAGATGCTCTATCTCAGCTCTCAATGTCTCCGTACCGGCGCAAATTACATCTGGCTTCATGATATCGAAGGGACCACCGTAGGGATGGGTGACAACTCCGCCGGCCTCACGGATAAGCAAGTAGCCAGCTGCACAATCCCAGGGATACATGTCTTCAATGTGAAAGGCATCCAAGTTGCCAGCTGCCACCATGCATAGGGAATCCACCACAGCTGAATAGGCCAGGAGTCTGGAAATGATTTACAACTTATAACAGAGTTTAGTGTATAGGATACCCCGCGCACCTTCTGGCATTAGAGCCCACATGGTAGATTCTTTTGATGTGCTTGTTCCGGATCTTAGGAGCGTGCAGCAAGCAAACCTCGTAGGCCACATTGGCATCGTTCAGATGTTCACAGCTGCTCACATGAATGGGTTTCCCATTGCAAAAGGCACCCTGGCCCAGTTTCGCGGTATATAGCTTATTCTGTGCAGGATTGTTAACTACGCCCAAGACTATCTGCTTCTTAATGGACAATCCAATTGAAACCGATACATGTGGAATTTGTTTGATGAAGTTTGAGGTCCCATCGATGGGATCTATGATCCAAGTAGGGGCATCCGTCAGTTCTTTGGTCACATTGTCGTTCTTGTGGGTATCCTCCTCCCCAATAAATTTGTGTTCCGGGTAGCGCGCCAGTATCTTCTCCATGAGAAACTCCTCTATCTGGTTATCATAGGCCGTGACTACATTGTAGAATTCGCCGTCCTTGAGGGCCACCGCCTTGCCAGCATTTTGATAGCCCTCTAGCAGGATTTCCCCAGCTCTCACTGCGAGCGGGTATATAAAGTCGTACAGCTCGTCTATTTGGGACTCACGGGCTGCCATCTCAGTTACTTCTCCAATCCTTGTCTATATACCTATCTGTGTATCTTACAATATGTTTCTGCGATAAATTGCACTTGTTCTGACTTCGTGTCGAGTGAATAAAGCACTGAAAACAGTCGGGAGATCGAGTTTTCGTAGTTCAGTAACTTGGCTCAGTGTCTGGCATTCGTTAACTAAGATTCTGGTCGAGTGAGAGCTTTTTTTAATTTATTTGCACTTAAAGTTAGCTTTTGTGCAAAATGGATGTGTAGTACGTACATATATCATAATATATACGAAATACTTATCATTGCTTATCAATTCTTAAATAGCTTCTGTTTTAAGTTAGTTTTAAAGCAATTACGTTGAAATGGCATTGATGAAATCGTTGTTAAGCTGAATTCCCTTCTCTTTCAGGCTCCCACGCAACCCTGCATAGTGTCACCTGGAGGCCCACCAGGCGGCCCCCCACCCCCGGAGCGCTCGAGCCAGGAGAATCTGCACGCGCTTCAACGCGCCATTGATTCTATGGAGGAAAAGGGCTTGCAGGAAGATCCTCGCTACTCCCAGCTCCTGGCAATGCGGGCCACATCGAAGCACCAGCACCTTAACGGCAATCAGGTTAACTTGTTGCGCACACAGATCACCGCCTATCGGTTGCTGGCGCGAAACAAGCCCATATCCATGCAGATGCAGCAGGCGCTTCAGGCGGCACAGCAACAGCCTCCGCCAGGACCACCAATTGGACCACCTGGAGCACCAGGTGGACCGCCGCCTGGAAGCCAACATGCAGGACAACCACCCGTGCAGCCGCAACAACAGCAACAACCGCCCCCTTCAGCAGGAACTCCGCCTCAATGCTCCACGCCGCCCGCAAGCAATCCTTATGGTCCGCCAGTTCCTGTTCAGAAAATGCAGGTAGCGCCACCACCGCCACACATGCAACAGGGACAGCCATTGCCACCACAACCGCCACAAGTGGGTGGACCCCCGCCTATCCAACAGCAACAGCCACCTCAGCAGCAGCAACAACAGCCGCAGCCCCCGCCACCGGAGCAACATCAGCACCAGTTGCCAAACGGAGGCAAACCCCTGAGTCTGGGGCCATCTGGAGGGCAACCACTAATACCTTCATCACCCATGCAGCCACAAGTGAGAGGGGCTCCGCCAGGAATGCCGCCAGGTACTCAGGTTCCGCAACCAGGAGCTGGTCCTCCGCGGCAAGTTCCACCTGCGGGCATGCCGATGCCCAAACCCAATCGCATTACAACGGTGGCCAAACCCGTAGGCCTGGATCCCATTACTTTGCTGCAGGAAAGAGAGAATAGGATAGCAGCCAGGATATCATTGCGCATGCAGGAGTTGCAGCGTCTGCCGGCCACCATGTCCGAGGATCTGCGGCTGCAAGCGGCTATTGAGTTGAGGGCCCTGAGGGTCTTGAACTTCCAGCGACAGCTGCGTATGGAGTTTGTCCAGTGCACGAGACGAGATACCACTTTGGAAACGGCGTTAAATATTAAGCTATACAAGAGGACCAAGCGGCAGGGTCTGCGGGAGGCACGTGCCACGGAAAAACTCGAAAAGCAACAGAAGCTAGAGGCTGAACGGAAGCGCCGCCAAAAGCATCTTGAGTTCTTGGCTGCTGTGCTTCAGCACGGAAAGGATCTGAGGGAGTTCCACAGGAATAATAAGGTGAGTCGTGAAGAACTGAGAGCATTAGTAAGATTGTAAACTAATATATACTTTAAATCACCAGGCCCAGCTTGCGAGGATGAACAAGGCCGTGATGAACCACCACGCAAATGCCGAGCGTGAGCAAAAGAAGGAACAAGAGCGCATCGAGAAGGAACGTATGCGACGTCTGATGGCCGAGGATGAGGAGGGTTACCGCAAGCTGATTGATCAAAAGAAGGACAAGAGATTGGCTTTCCTACTGTCGCAGACAGATGAGTATATTAGCAACCTAACTCAGATGGTGAAACAGCACAAGGACGACCAGATGAAGAAAAAGGAGGAGGAGGGCAAGCGGCTGATACAGTTCAAAAAGGAGCTGCTGATGAGCGGAGAGTACATTGGCATTGATGAGGGCAGCATTGTTGCTGATATGCGGGTCCATGTGGTGGAG